TCTTGGTCAACATCAAAGTCAAAGTCAACCTTCCTAGTTGACTCTACTTGCCGAGTCACCCCGTCGACTCGCCGAGTTCCCTTACCCAGAAAACTCACATAACACACTTAACTCGCCGAGTCTCCCCAAGACTCGTCGAGTCCAACGATCTCTGAGTTCCATCCTGCCCAACTCACTGAGTCGCCAACCTACTCACTAATCCAAGGCTTAACCAAAAGAGGTTGGGGGTTCTGCGATCTAACTCGTCGAGTCCAAGAACATAGTCGCCGAGTCCAAGGCAATCTTCAACAGACTCGCCGAGTTGTTCTTCCAACTCGTCGAGTTCCTTCCCATCATCACACAACTCACCGAGTCCACCCATGTGACTCGCCGAGTCACTTCAGTTCTTAATCCATACAGTGGCTTTTCGAGCAATGCAGGGGCTCCAAACTGTAGATCCACTCTTCTAAGGCCCACCCTTCAGTTAAAGTTGCAAGCTTTACGTGAAACCAAGGAGCTATAGGCTTAAAACACCCTAGAGCTAGGGTTTATGACCAACGTGCCTCACCAACACACCAAAGGCTGATACTTTACGGGTTTTGGACCAAAACAAACCTAGATCTGAAGTAGAAACCTCAGATCTGGACTTATAACTCGAAATGGCTCCTTAACATGCAAAAATGGCCCTAAAACATCATCCAAGGAAAGATCTAGAAGTAACAAAGGCAAAGTTACAGATTGTTACCTTCAACTGATGCTCACAACCACAAAGTTGAATTCTCCAGCTCCCTAGTGGTCGATACCTCCAAATCTTCCTCTTGCAAAAGCCTTAAGCTCACTTTCTTCCACGTCTTACTCAAATTAGGGTTTTGGAATCGCTTATAGAAGCTTCTGGCCGACAAAGGGACTGAGGAGAGGACATAAGGTCCTTTAAAGAGGGTGAAAACCCTGAGATTAGGGTTTTTCTCATTTCAACACCAACTCGTCAAGTCCAGCTTCTGACTTGGCGAGTTGGTCACTTAATTCGCGACTCAAACCCGCTCCGACTCGGCGAGTAAGCGTACCTACTCGTCGAGCCCCTTCCTCGAAATTACACTTTAAACCCTTAAGCCATACTTCTGAAATTCAAGATGTTACAATGGCGTTCAAAAGGGAAATGGACGAGGGTGCATATGGGAACGCCCTGTGTTCCCAAAGGGAATGTGCTGCGTTTATCTGGGCAGACTAAACCCTAATTTTCGGGTGTTGGACCCTATTTAAACACCTTAACTCACCCCAACCCTTATTTCCTTTCAGCCTCCATCCTATCTAACCCTAAGAATGAAACCCTAAACCTCTTGCATGCATTTTAAGCTTACCTTGAGTATTTTTGGTATTGTTTAGGTGATTTGAAGAAGAAGGTGTTTAGAGAAGAAGCAAGAGATTGAAGAGAGCTTGTAGATCCAGAGGTTTTACATCATTTCCAGCCTATTGAAGGTATAAAGTTCTCATCTTGGTGCTTCTACATCATAGATCTAGGTTCTCATTAATATTGTCCCTTTTTTGGTTTAAAGAATGAATTTTTATGGTCCAAATCCATTTCTGGACTTAGGGTTGCCACCCATGAAGCTATCTGAGTCTCTTAGGCAGGAAAGTTGCCGTCTTTAAGGTCCTAATGGGTTCATGCAAGAGTTATGGCCATCTTTATGGAAGTTGATTGCTATTACTTGAGATTGGGACTTTTGGGTGCATGCAAAGTCACCAAGTTCGTGACTTTATGGTCCTAGAGGTCCTAAATAGCTTGGATCTATGTCTGGGTAGCATGTTAAAAGCATTAAGTGCTTAATGGTCAGTTTTTGGAATCTGGACACGAACGCGCTGCGTAGGGCTCGGGAACGCGTTGCATTCCTAGTGAGACCCACGACAAGGATTTCAAAGGAACACCCAACATTCTACAAGGGAACGCCCTGCGTTCGTGGCATCAGTTGGCCTTTTGGGATATTTCCTTGGACTAGATGATTATAGGCCTTAATGAATTATTCTTTTGGGCTGATATTGGAGTTATTTCATATTGGACTTGAGGGAAGGCCCATTTGAGAAGATGGGCCCAATTTAGAAAATTGGGCCATTAGTGGGTCATTAGTGGGCTTAGTAAGAATATATGGATTTGGGCCTAAGTCATGGGTCCATTTAGCTTAGGGGTAAAATGGTCATTCTACCCTAAGAAGGATTAATGTTTTGGACTAAGTGATATTTTGGTATTTATAGCTCGGGAAGACGAGAGATCAGCAGTTCGGTGATCTGCCAGCTAGCAGCGAGAGGTTATTCACGGGATTCTACAGTCAGCCTTGCGAGGTGAGTTTTCTCCAGTAGGAACGGGTCTAAGGCAAAAATGTCAGCCCGTTTATGTGTGTTAGTGTATATCGGATTTAGATTTGATGTCGGGGTTAGTCTGATGTAGTTTATATGTTCCAGATTTCGGTCCGATGTTGGGTGTTACCCGAGGCAATAATGTATGTTTAGTTATACTTGATGTCTTTGTGATACTTGTATGTGCCTGGTAGGGAGGTGAGTGTGGGCAGGGTCCCGTATCTTATCACTAGTTGAGGGTGGACGGCGTTCCATATCTAATTAGTAGCAGAGTAGAGACGGGGCCCAAGATAGGCGAGGCCTTGTGATTAGCAGTTACAGTATAGCGATTGTTTGTTATGTATTAGCATGATTATATGTTATTGTTTGTATGTGTATAGCGTGCGGAGCTCAGAGACAGGCGAGGCCTAGTAGAAACAAATCTGTATACCGAGCGGGGCTCGATGCCAGGCTGGGCCCCAGTATATGTGCTTATGTGTATGGTATGTTGTTCTTTCACATGACATTTTTTATAAACTTTTTCAAGTTTATTTAAATCCACTTGGCAAATTGTGGTTTTCTTGGCTTTCTTATTAAATTATAAAAAATCTTATAGAAAAATATAATAAAGAAAATAAAGAAACTTAGATGTCTCCATAAATTCTCATTTAATTTGTTAATTAATGTATTAATTTATATTTAGATTCAAGTACCTTCCTAATTGAAAAATATAATTTTCGACCAATCTTTTTGAATTCATGATAAATTACATAAACTTTGCAAAAATTGATTAATTCACAACTAATATTGATTTTTTTTCCAAATTCAATTTTGTAAATTATTAAACATATAATGTTAACAAAATATATTGATTTTTTAAGAAAAAAACTAGTATACTACACGAGTATCACACCTAATGATATATATATATTTATGAAAAATAATAGTTCGACTAAAACGAAAACCCACATTTTTAACAAATCACATGCACAATTACATTAATTTGTTCGCTAGACTTTTAGTGAATTACACGTTTTATAATCATCGATTTAAAATCATAAATATCGAATTGCCACTTCTTATAAATATCAAAATTCCACGTTTTCTTAAGTGAATAGCACGTTTTAGAAAAATAAAAATTCGTTAAAAATAAGTCCAAAAATCATTAAATCCATCCCAATCATCCACACAAAATAAGGTATAAATTACTTGAATCATACCTCAATTATTCACCAAGTTGCAAACTTTAGCCTAATAAATATTTTTATCCACTTTTGATTTAGAATAAACAATTTTTTTCGGAACTTTTTTCTATTTCCTTTAGACTTAGCAAGAGTTCACTTAAAAGATTTGTCAGACATAAACTAGATTAAAGATTAAATTTAAGAAATACAAATAGTTATTACTAATGACATCATATATTTTCTTTCATCTTTTATACACATCACAGATAGAAAATTAATATATCACTTCAACAAGATAACAATTAAAGCTTAATTTAATCTATTTCTAGAACTTTAAAAAGAGAAAAAAAAGACTCGAACAATTGTTGCCTTTAGGGTTTCTTGAGTCATGGATAACAATTTATTTGATTGGAAGAATCTAAAAGAAATTTAACAAAATGGAGCTTTCCTTGATTCTGATACGTGTGGGATCTAGGAAAATAAATAAGGTTAGTACCCTTTAAAATCAGTGAGAAATTTCATGGTGATAATTTGGATTGAAATTTATCAATTATTAGTTTCAAGTTCTTGATAGGATTCATGTTTTCACGATATAGAAAACCCCACATGTGAGATGGAAAAATAGGCTGCTTGAAAATGAAGAATGTTTGCCGTGGAAAATATGTGAATCAGTCTAACCTTATTCAACACACATTGCTTTTTGCAAAATTGTTATTGAGTTCCGAATCCAAAAGCATCCAAGAATCCTCACAAGGTTATAAAACTTAGAGAAGGACCAATCCCCCATTTCCTTTTTCATCGACCCTCTTTCACTATCATCATCTCTAACACAATCACCTCTTCCATGTCGTATTCACCTTACTACCCCTTAGCTCTCTCTTCTCTTTCTTTTTAAAGTCCCGTCAAATAGTCAAACCAATGTTTTCTTAACAAAAAAATATTTGTAGTTAAAGCGTGGTCCGTGTATCATATACTAACATCAGTCATTATGTTTGAGGCAAGATGATGGTAAATTTCAACAATATGAAAGAAAGTAGATATAATAATATAAGCATAATGTTGGGGTAAGGGTGGTGGGTTTGAAACAAGATAGTAAGGGGACGAATATATGGTGGTAATGACAACGTTTTCATCAATGAGGCAGTGAGTTTGAGGGATCGTCGGTGGTCTTTTTTGACGATTTCGATCAATTAATGATGTGAGTTTTAGGTAGTACTTGGTGAGTTTGAGGTTGTTGTTGATAATAAAAGAGAAGTGGATTCGCTCACTGCATCATATAATTGATGTATCTAGTTGATATTTTTTTCACATAGAATTTAAGTTTCGAAATTATGGGAGATTAAAATAAACGTGGGTTGTTTTTTTTTATCTTGACAATATGACCATAAATGTAAGAAAAACAATATTTGGACTAAAACTGCTATTTTGTGAATAGTTTAGGGATGGTTTGTAATTTACTCTAAAAATAAAGGAACAAAATTTCAAACTCACATGCATTTGCAGTATGACCCCTGAGGCCCAGATTTTGCTGCTATCTCACTCTCACACAGTCACAAGACCAAACATAATCGTGTATTGCACTTCTCATTACACCTCTTCTTTCTCGTGCATTTCTCGAATTGTGTAATTGATGAGCTACAGTTATCAAAGTAATTCTACGCTAATACAGAGAAGGAGGTGAGAAAGATCAAGAGGGTATTTCAGGTGAATTTGTGGTCAAGAACAGAGACAGTGGATAGCTATGGCAGTATCTTTACAGCTTCAGACACCTTCATATTGTGGAAACACAGTTGTTAGGGACAAAACCCTCGTAAGGATTAAACCTTTTATTGGGTCTCATCCACCCAGAAGATCAAACTTGTTTTCACAGGTAACGATCAATCATTTCCTTCATTGATTTTTGATGAATTCATCCTATATAACTTCGATTCAATTGAATATCGTTTCGTGGGTTTCTTTTTTGAAATGTCATTTTGTGGGTTTCTTTTTGAATGAAATGCCTACGAATTTGCAAATGTATGGGGAACATTTGGGTGGATTGTTGTGTATTTATGGGTAATCTAAGTTTTGATTGTTTTAGGGTTTTTCATTTTCTGACTGATTTCGCAATTCTAATCATATTTGGTGTTTATATAATCGGATTCATTACCAATTATAGTAGCTTATTTGATGGCGTCATTTAGTTGCTAGTTGAACGATTTCTTTGGTGCTATCGCTTTCTAAAAGAATTCAATCAATACTAATTTGAGTGAAATTGTTACATTGATTAGCTTCGGTTTTTTCTTATTCGTGGGATAATTATTGTTTATTATATTAATGTGTAGTTTACACAATCTTGTTCGTGGTACAAATATTCTGTGATTGCTGGGTTTTCGCACCAAATCATGGCAAGTTCAGGTTAGTTGTTGAGCTCTGACTTGAATATCGAACGATTGTTGAAGTTTTTAGTAGTAAAATTGTTGAAGAGGGACTTAGTTTCTAAACGGATATTTCGATAAAGGTGATCACTTTTTAGTAAATAATCAGAATCAGAATATAATATGCTTCAGTATAACGTGTTGCAAGAGAATTGATTATTACTACTTGAAAATTTGATTATTACCAGATAATCACTTTCAAGATACAAGCCTAATTCGTTATGATTTTTCCATCAATTGTGCATGTTGTAGACTTGTCAAGAAAAAGGAGATATAAAGTGTCAAGCCCAAGGGCAAATGACTCTGCACCCAAAGGATTTAAGCCCAAACCTACAAATCCAAGGAAAGATCAAAGAATAATTCAAGGGAATGAAGGCCTCAATCCTTCTATCTCTACAGAATTTGTGAAACCCACAAAAAGAGAAAGTAAAATTCATACAATTCAGCAATTGGCTGTTCCCGAGTTCAATCAAAGGGCAGAAAGTGTTAAAAACGATACAATAAATAAAAAAGAGAAAGTAGAGGCCATCAAGAATAGTGACGATAAGATTGAAGATGATGAGGAAGCTTCTAGAAAGTTAAAATTAGAAATTGAAGAAAAATTACGCAAAAAGATGGAAGAAGAGCTGCGAAAAAAGGAGATGGAAGCAAATTTACGAATTCAAGAAATCAAAAATCTTGCAAACGAGACTTTTCTGAAAGGCGAAAAAGTGTTTTGTTATCCTAAGCTCGTGACACCCGATCAAGAAATTGAAATATATTTAAATAGAATTGATTCGAGTTTATTTAACGAATCAAGTATCTTTATAATGGGAGCGTTTAACGACTGGCGATATAAATCTTTCACTATGAAATTAAAAAAAACGAATCTGAGCGGCGACTGGTGGTCATGCAGGATGCATGTCCCAAAGGAAGCATACAAAATAGATTTCGTGTTTTTTAATGGACAAGATGTTTATGAAAACAATGAAATGAAAGATTTTTGTATAAACGTGGAGGGCGGAATGGACATTTTCGAATTCGAAGAGCTTTTGCTCGAGGAAAAGAGAAGAGAGCTTGAAAGACTTGCAAAAGAGGAAGCAGAGAGAGAACGGGAATTGGAAGAAAAGAGAAAAATCGAAGCTGAGAAGGCGGCAAGTGAAGAAGATAGAGAGCGGGCCCACATGGAAGCCGAGAGGAGAAGGGGAATAATTCAACAAGTTTTGGAAAAAGCGGTTAAGTTTGTTGATGGTGTATGGTATATAGAACCGAGTGAGTATAAAGGAGGGGATACAGTTAGGTTATATTATAACAAAAGTGTGGGCCCACTTGCAAATGTTAAAGATTTGTGGATTCATGGAGGTTATAATAATTGGAAAGATGGATTGTCCATTGTTGAGAAGCTTCACAAGTTTGTTGGAAAAGATGGTGATTGGTGGTATGCAAATGGTATGCTACTTTCATTTCTTTCTATTACACAACATTGAAAAATCTACTCACTTATAGCATTCTACTTTCACTTTTTTTTTTTACCTTATTAAGACATTATACCTTGAAAACTTACCCTATTATATCAATATAATTGGTAGATTTTTCAAAGTACAATGTTGTGTAATAGAAAGAAATAAAAAGTAGGATGCTATGATAAACAGATCAATGGAAGAGCACATTGTTGCATATCCTACATTTATCCCTTGTTTTTTGTAACATCTTCAAAGTATACTTTTTAGTTTTTTTTTTTTATATTGTTGTGGTCCCCACTCGTTCGCTCACAGAGTAAACAACCTTTGATTTTATGTAGTTGTGGTCCCCACTCGTTCACTTGTATTGGATTGGGTTTTTGCTGATGGTCCACCTCAGCATGCAACAGTTTATGATAACAATGAACGCAAAGATTTCCATGCTATTGTCCCCATATCCATTCCTCAAGATCTCTTTTGGGCTGAAGAAGAACACGAGATTTACAAGAAACTTCAGACTGAAAGAAAGCTAAAAGAAGAAGAAATCCGTATCAAGGTCATATTTTCATGATACCACACACAGGATTGTAATCACCTTTTTATATTGAAATGCAAGAAACAACAACATACTTTCATTGGTTTGTTTTTTATAGCATATCCTGCTTTCATTTCTTCCCATTACATCTTTGCATTTAACACTATAACTTGTTTTGTGTCTTTTTTTTTTTTAATTTACAGGCTGAGAAAACAGCACGAATGAGAGCCGAAACAAAAGAAAGAACAATGAAAACGTTTTTGTTGTCACAAAAGAATATAGTTTACACAGACCCTCTTGATGTCCAAGCAGGAAGCCAAGTGTCAGTTTTCTATAATCCCAAAAATACCCTTCTAAATGGAAAGCCTGAAGTATGGTTTAGATGCTCTTTTAACCGTTGGACACATCGCATTGGTCTTTTTCCACCTCAAAAAATGTTGCCTGCAGATAACGGGATGCATGTCAAAACCTCTGGTAAGCTGTTGACTGGTGATAAAGTTTTTTTAATAAAACAACCCGTTTTGACATCTGTGATAAAGTTTGTTTCTTTTTTTTTTTTTTGATTGTGATGCATCAGTTAAGGTCCCACTAGATGCATATTTGATGGATTTTGTGTTCTCTGAGAAAGAAAGTGATGATGGTGTTTTTGACAATAATCATGGTATGGATTACCATATACCTGTGTCTGGAGGAGTTACAAAGGAACCCCCTATGCATATTGTTCATATTTCTGTTGAAATGGCTCCCATTGCAAAGGTCATATTTCAAATTTCATTTTTTACTTGTATAATTAAATTGAACTCTAATAATATCAAATGCATATACATAACAAAGGGTTTAATGCTAAAAATAACAATGGAAAAATGCAAAAAATCGCAACGTACTTTCATTTGATTTCTAATATAGAGTAAATTACACGAATGGTCCCTATGGTTTGGGCTAATTTGCGTGCTTGGTCCCTAACTTATTTTTTTAACTCGGAAGGTCCCTATTGTTTGTTTTTATTATGTGCTTGGTCCCTACTGTTTGTTTCTATTACGCGATTGGTCCCTGTCTTATCTAAAAAAACTATTATTTAAATAGGAAAAAATGGTAGGGTAGGTAAGGTAAGGTGAGGAGGGTGGGGTTGGGGGTGTGTTTATTTAAATAAATTAAAAAATCAAGGGCAAAATAGTCTTTTTAGGTAAGACAGAGACCAAGCGCGTAACAAAAACAAACAGTAAGGACCTTCCGAGTTAAAAAAATAAGTTAGGGATCAAACATGCAAATTACCCTAAACCATAGGGACCATTTGTGTAATTTACTTTTTCATTTATTTGTTTATTGTAGGATCTTACTTTCATTTCTTTTTATTACATCATATTATACTTTGAAAAATGTACCCAAATTGGGTAGATTTTTCAAAGTACAATGATGTATAACGGTTTTGTTTGAAAGTTGGGTGGCTTTTTTAGTGGTTTATGAAAGTTGAATGTTTTTTATAATGGTTTTTGTTTGAAAGTTGGATGATTTTATTTTAGTAAAATGTGTGTGTGTGTGTGTGTGTGTTTGGAATTGCAGGTTGGAGGGCTTGGTGATGTTGTGACTAGTCTTTCTCGTGCTGTTCAAGATTTAAACCACAATGTGGATATTATTCTTCCAAAGTATGATTGCTTGAATCTTAGCAATGTAAGTAAGCCTTTCTTGAATACTTATGATTATTGAAGCAATCAAGATTGGATTCTAAATTTTTCTTGAAGCAATAATACTTTCCTTTTTTTGTTGTAGGTGAAGGACTTTGGTTTCCATATGAGCTACTCATGGGGTGGGACCGAAATTAAAATTTGGTTTGGGAAAGTTGAAGGACTTTCTGTTTACTTTCTTGAGCCTCAAAACGGGTAAAAAAACTCTAATTCACCATTCACATCTTATATAATTAAAATCTAATGCAAGCTTTTTGTATCTGTTCAGACACTTTTGGAAAGGATGCATTTATGGTTGCAATAATGATGGGGAAAGATTTGGTTTTTTTTGTCATGCTGCTCTTGAATTCCTTCTTCAAAGTGGATCTCATCCTGTAAGCTTTAGGTGTAAGAGTTATCATACTTCATTTCATATATTTCTTTTTCTATATTTAATCAGTCATAAAGAGTTTCACTTATCAGATGAAACTAGATTTTTGTAATTCTTGCATTTATCCCTTTGTGTAATTATGATTGGTTGTTTTGTTTTGCAGGATGTTATTCATTGTCATGATTGGTCTAGTGCACCAGTTGCATGGTTGTTTAAGGATGCATACATGCATTATGGTTTGAGTAAAGCAAGAATTGTCTTCACAATCCATAACCTTGAATTTGGGGCTCCTTTGATTGGGAAAGCCATGGCGTATGCTGACAAGGCTACAACGGTAATTTAATTCTTATCACCTTTTCTTTTTACAGTTTACTTGTTACTCAGTTACCCCTCCTTTTTTTTTTCTTAATGCAAGAAATAGCGTTATACCTTCATTTCTTCCTATCACAAATGTCATCCAAATACAAAACAATTTACACTGCTATAATGGGGTAGACTTTTCAAAGTACAATCTCCTAATAAGTAATATGGAAGAAAAAAAATGAAATTGTGTTCGTTTTTAGATGTCTCTTTATAACTGTATGATTTTTCTTTTCTAGAAAAATTTTAAGGTGACAATTACTTATTTGCCCCTGCCCGTTTTCTGTTACCATTTATTCAGATTCTCATATATCATCATTATTGGAAAGAATGAAGTTAAGTGAAACAATTGCCAAGCTTTATCAAACATTTTTCTTACATCAAACTGCAGGTGTCTCCAACTTATTCACGGGAGGTTGCTGGAAATCCCGTGATTGCCCCTCATTTGCACAAGTTTCATGGGATACTTAATGGCATTGACCCGGATATGTGGGACCCATTTAACGACAAGTTCCTTCCTGTAAGTATATATATATATATATATATATATATATATATATATATATATATATATATATATATATATATATATATATATATATATATATATAGCTTATAATTTCTTATCTAAAGAATCCATGAATAGATATCAAGTCAACTTGCATGTTCTTTATTGATTTTTTTTTTCCATTTTCGATTTTCATTTAATAACGAATGTGGGACCCATGGAAACGTGATCAAAATATTTCATTTATTATTATTATTATTTTGAAATTGTAGGTATCTTACACTTGGGAAAATGTGGTGGAAGGAAAAAAGGCTGCAAAGGAAGCCTTGCAACAAAAGTTGGGTTTAAAACGAGGGGATGTACCCTTGATTGGAATCATCACCCGGTTGACTCACCAAAAAGGAATCCACCTCATCAAACATGCCATCTGGCGGGCCCTTGACCGGGGGAGCCAGGTGGTGTTGCTAGGGTCAGCCCCGGATCCTCGCATCCAAAATGATTTTGTAAATTTGGCAAGTCAACTGCATTCTACACATAATCAACATGCACGCCTATGTTTGACCTATGATGAGCCTCTTTCTCACTTGGTATGTTATGTATTGTTTGACCTTTGGTTTGACTTTTTTGTTGACTTTTTGACCTCTTGTTTTTAGATATATGCTGCTGCAGATTTCATTTTGGTCCCTTCCATATTTGAGCCATGTGGCCTAACTCAACTCACTGCAATGAGATATGGTTCAATTCCTATTGTGAGGAAAACTGGAGGTATTAATATTAATACTTAATAGTGGTTATATAACTATTTTTTTTTTTTTTTTTTTTTTTCAGTTTATAGGTTGTACAATAAAACATCTAAGGGTAAAGATGAAACATTCCAAAAAACACTATAGTTTGTGAAAATGAATGAGTTTTGACATATTATGAAAATGTTAATGTAGAAAAAACATTATACATGGCATTTTTTTTGTTGGAATTTACTTATATTCTTACAAATGCAATGCCAAATACAGTGGATTGATAAGCTAGACAATTTATTTTACGTCTAAATTACCTTTCAATTAAGACAAAATAATGGAATCTTGTGGACCCAAATGGTCATCATAAATTAATTCTTTCAATGATGACAATAGACAAATAGGTAACTGTGAATTGAATGCTCTACCAAAATAGAAGATTATGTACTTTATATGCGACAAAGATTATAATTCTTGTGAGCTTGAAAAAGTCGATATATATATATTTATTTTGTTAAATTTACCTTTTTAACCTTGTTTGCAGGACTTTATGATACTGTATTTGACGTTGAACATGATAAAGAGAGAGCACAATCACAAGGTCTCTCACCAAACGGATTCAATTTTGAAGGAGCGGATGCTGCTGGTGTCGATTATGCTGTCAACAGGCAACTACACACCACTCTCTTACACTTGATTTCTCATAAACAGATTATATATATATATATATATATATATATATATATATATTATATATATATATATATATATATATATATATATATAATATTGGTGTTTCCTTTTCACCTAATAATGACGTACTAGAGAAAGTCAGGAAAGGAGGCTTCCACGTTAAGTCCGAACCTTTTTAAAAATTTGCCCTTATTTATTCTTTCTTCCATTGCCCTTGTATCCTCAAAAAGGAAAAATCAAAGTTAATAGCATTTTGCTTCAAATATTTTCTTTAATAAATCTACCAAGCTATAGCAGTGAAAAATACAGTTTTTATTTAGGTACAGTGGTTGCCTATAATAAGGAAGTAGGATGCTATAATAAACCAATGAAAGAAAGTACATTGCTATGTGGTTTCTTGGTATAATTGGTAAGGGAGTTCTATGTTGATGGTTTTGGTGTTTGTTTGTGCACAGAGCGATTTCTGCATGGTATGAAAGTCGGGATTGGTTCAATTCGTTATGCAAAGCGGTGATGGAGCAAGATTGGTCATGGAATCGACCCGCTCTCGACTACTTGGAGCTCTACCACGCGGCTCGAAAGTAAAACTTGATAGGAAGAAATCAGGAAGTTTTTTTTTTTTTTTTTCTTTTTTTTAGAATAAATAATAGCCATAGAAGAATTTTGTACATGTCTACATGATCTTTTTTTTTTTTTTTTTTTATTAGTGTGGGTAATAAATGGAAACATGTTTCTTTTTTACTTAATGAACTTAAGGAAGGTGAAACTTAGGGGTTGTTTGCTAAAACCGAACTATATAATGATGAACTATTTCAACCTCTTAATGATTAATAGAATGTATTGTTCCTTAATCGTTCAGAGGCTATCTTCTATTGCAACAACTTCTTCCCTCCACCACGGAGTCGACTACGTCTCCGGTTACTTCCAAAAATCCTACTAATTCATCCATCAATTTTGACGTCAAGAATGTCTTCCTTCACGCTACTTTACAAGAGACCATTTTTATGCTATGTGATCATGTTTGCCACATACATTGGTCTTTATACGGCCTTAAGTAGACACCCATGCATTGGTCTTTAGTTATCATCTATCTCAGGATCTCTGCTACCCATTCCTTTATGGGCCTCTTTCTTAGTCAGGCTCAACATGCTACAAATATACTTAACCATGCATGTATGCTTAATTGCAAATCGTGTCATACCCTAGTTTAGACAACTAAAGTCAAAATTAGCCGACTTATGATCGTTGATCCCATCGAGTATTGCAGCCTTGCTGGCACCTATAGTACTTCACATTCATCGGACCAGATCGTAGCTATGTCATCAAACATATCTACTTATTCAAGCATGCCCTTGTGAGACTCGCTTTTGAGCGCTTAAACACATTTTAAGGTATATGCGAGGCACCCTAAACTATGGCCTACAACTCTATGTATCTACGTCTTTAGATCTCATTGCTTACTCCGATGTTGTCTATGGTGGATGTGTATTTTTAGGCGGGAATTTCCTTTCTTGGTCCTCAAAACGTTGTGACATTATTTTTAGGTGGGAATCTCCTTTCGTGCTCCTCGCCCCTAAGTATACTATTATCTATCGTAATAACCTGAGTGTTTTTTACATTTCCTTGAATCCAATGCAACACCGACACACAAAACACATTGAGATGGATGTTCATTTTGTTCATGAATTAATCCCCTTGGGATAGTTTCAACTTTTCCATCCAGTTCCCAATATGCGTATATACAATGTTGCAGAACTTGCTATTAGGTACTTGTTCAATCGACTGGGAGTAGCGAGTACTCGACCTAGCGGAGAGTACTCGGATATGACATTTTATATAGAAATTAAATTTGGCAAAATTATAACTATGAAAGATCATAAGTTTGTTAAAATTTATAACAATGTATATGAAATATCAATAAAAAGTATACATGTTCGAATGTTAAAACTAGTTCAAAAAATAAACATTTTAATAATGAAAATCTTGAAGATGAGAAGGAGAGAGAGGAAAACATATACAATTCATCTATCCGATACCTTACGTTAGTTTTAGGGTTAGTAGGTTAGATAAAGTATAAAATATACATATTAATCCTGCAATTCTTGATTTTCTTCTTTGATGTGAATTTTGACCATTTGACTGAGTTAGACCGAGTTGGACCTGATCGAGGTTGACCGATTGATGAGTTATTTGATCGAGTTGGCTTAACTCGCCTCAGTAAGAGGTCGAGTCCGCCATGTTTTAAAACACTGCATACATCTTCAGCAAAGAGCTTCCAACATCTCTATTTCACGAATTTCGATCTAGTTGAACTTTCAGACGAAGCTTCCCAATCAAACCTACACAGAATCATTTGTAGTTGTATTATGTTAGGCCCATTTTCGGGTCCATATTGTGTAGCCCTCTTATATGCTTGTATATATTTGGTGAATTAATGCAAATATCCTTTGTATGGGAAAATAATATCCTTTAAATATATCATTATATTATATTTTAAGTAATAAGTAATATATAAAATCTAAATACATTTAATCTGAATATATAGTTTTCTCATAAAAATCGCTCTGGGAGGAACAACTATCTGAATCTATAGTTTTCTCATAACCATTGCTCTGGAAAAACAACTAAAATCGATGGTCTTGAATATTGATCAATTTCTCTATAAAAATGTACGTATAGCCATAATATTTATCATAAAAAGTAGATAAGATCAAAAGTGAATTGTAGAAATATTATTGATAAAACGAAAGTGCAACAATGTAATTTACTTATCATGACTGAAACTTCAATTGAATTAATGGTTTGCAACATATTTAGAAGATAACATTTTGTCGCAGAGTTCATATATGTATGTACATAACTACATATGCATACATATTATTATCATTGTGGTTAACTCCTTTTCATGTAACTCTCTTACTATAAATGGGCATTTAATTAAGAAAGAATAATAAGTTACTGTAATAACTAATCACATTCATGAAGGTTGGAGAATAAAGAGTCAATTCTTGATCTCCCTGTCTCTCCCCTTTGCATACTGGAGGAGGAGAGAGAAGTTCGAAATTTTTTTTCCACTTTTTGCTCTCTTGGATTCGTAATTACTTTGTGTTGATAAAACTATTTGCAGAAGAAAGGGAAGTAGAAAATGTTATCAAATCATAAAAGTTTTTTAGGTGAAAAACCCTCAAGAAATCTTTCAAACAAGACGTGGGCAGTGTTCCTTTGGATTTTCAGCTTCTGCGCTGGCATGTTGTTTACCAACAGGTAATCTGTTTTCTCATCACGGTTACTGTGTGTCTGTGTGTGTGTTAATATCCTATATGAAAAGCTGATTTGCATTTTTATGAAATGGGTAAATCTTTAATTTCAAGAAAGATAGTGGGTTCATCGTGATTCATGAAATTGCAAGTCGGATGCCTATTTATTTTGTGGGACCCATTCTCTCATCTCATTTCTTATCAAGTGTGACAACAGATTTTGATAAAAAGGTTATTGTCCTTTGTCCAATATCATAAATAGTAGATTTCAAACAATATTAGGAGACGGATAAAAGACAATATATATATATATATATATATATATATATATATATATATATATATATATATATATATATATATATATATATATATATATATATATATATATATATATATCCACTACTTTAGGTTTTGTTCAGCAAATTTAAATCTTGCCCATTTTTGGGAACCCATGCTTGTGTCTAAGAATCAAAGATTATTTGCCCTTTGACCTTTGTTCATTATGGGTGTTTGTTTTATCTTTTAAAACATCTTTTAACTTTTAGGAAAAGATAAAAAAGACAAAAGATGTTTGGTAGTGTTGTAAAAGTTACTTTTTTATATAAGGAAAAATGAACTTTTTGGAAAAGTTACAGAATCCTGACTTTTTGCAACTTTTCCTAAAAGGACTTTTGCCTTTCAAAAGCTTAGCCAAACACCCCCTATATATCAAGAGTAGGTTTTCGGACAATATTAGGCTTTTGAGGGCCGTTTGTTATGTAACATAACAGAACAAGTTGTCCTGTGTTTAACATACATAGGACTGGAACCGATGTTAGTAGGACAGAAATTGCAATATTTTGGGAAGAGGGTGCGACACAAATTTTCTAGACTTTCTCTCGATATCTTGTTTATTTATGAACTCCTTAAGTGGTTGAAAAACATTTGATCTTTTTTTTTTTCAAAACATATATAATGAAAGTACGTTGCTCTTTCTTGCATTTAACACATCTGTTATTGAAACTATTTCCCAGGATGTGGATTGTGCCCGAAGGTAGCGACATCGTATCACTAATACAAAAGAATTGGGGTGGGAATTCAATCGAGCTAAGTTACAAATCTAAATATGCAAGTATTCTCTTTGAAATTTCTCCTACTCTATATACAATGTCGGGGTCCACGACTGAATGCATGTAATAATCATAGCAATAGATAAAACATGGATTAAATGCAAGAAATATCAATATGTTTTCATTGACATGCTTATTATAACATTTCAAGTACTTTCATTTCTTTCTATTATACCATTGTAATTTGAAAAATATACCCACTTACTGCAATTCCATCCAAATACAAGCCAACTTTATGTTATAATTAGGTTATAATGTTCTAATAACAAAAATAAAATAAAAGTACAATGCTAATCGGGTATATATTTTTGAAGCCAGTATGATGTTTTCATTTCTTTCTAGATGTTTTCTTGCCTATGGTGTTATAACCATTTGATTGCTCTTCGTCAGGATATTACCGGCATTCAATCCAATACTACACGAGATGTTTCTGAGATCTATCATTCTATTAAGTAAGTTGCTCAATCCCTGGAGGCTGAATGCAAGAAATAACAACATACTTTCATTTGTTTGTGTATTATAACGCGTCATATTTGTATTTCTTTATTTTTGAACATTGTACTTTGAAATCTATCCAATTACAACATTATAATGTCAATTTCTGTTTTTTTCTTTGAACATTATACTTTGAAAAATCTACCAAGTTATAGTTGCGGGGATTTTTGTATTACATATTGGTATATTTTTCAAAGTAAAATGTTCAAATAAGAAAAATAAAAGTAGAATGCTACAGTGAACAAATCAATGACTGTATGGTTCCTATTTCTTTTTCTAACCCTTTTTTCTTTTAGGCTTCTTGCTTATTTTGACAAAAAGTTTGGTTTTTTTACATGTATAGAAAGCTCCACAAGAAAATCGTGAATATTAAAGCAAAAATAGACAATTTTACCACAAGAAACCGATCTCCACTGAAAGATTCTTCATTGGAATTAGCTAGCAATTTAAATACCAAAAGGAAGTATTTTATAGTAATTGGAATCAACACGGGTTTTAGCAGCAGAAAAAGAAGAGAATCCATTCGGGCTACATGGATGCCTCAAGGTATATGTACTTTTTTTTTTCGAGATATTTTCTTTTTTATTTATTTGTGCTTCTTAAAACTTGATGATTGAATTTTGTTGACCAGGGGAGAAAAGAAAAAGGCTTGAGGAAGAAATAGGAATTGTTACACGCTTCATCATTGGCCATAGGTTCATTTAGTTATTTCTTTTTTTTCCATTAAGTTGTGTGTCTTGTCTAATTAAACTTCTGTCTGGAGAATAATTTTGAAAATATATTTTGAGAAAATGAGACAAATGGAAGGAGAAAAAATAAGCAGGGGAAAATTTGTAAAAGGTTAGAAAAGCAAAAGAAGAATACCAGGAAAAAAAATAAGCATGGGGAAAGATCCTTTCTCTAATTTTTTTTGTATTAAGTCGTTCATCTGTAGTAAGTAAAAAAGAAACTATCTTACAAGAATCATTGGAAAAAAGAGAGAATTAGAGGTGAAAAATGAACAAAGTTTGGCTACTTTCAACCTTTGACCTGTTCTTTTAGCTATTTTTTTAAATTATATCCATATAATGTGTTTAAATTGTTTTTTTTTACAGTGCAAGAGAAGGGGACATTCTTGATAATTCCATTGAAGAAGAGGAAAAACTTTATGGAGATTTTATGAGGCTGGTAATGTTTTTTATTGGAGAAAAAGACAAATTTAGACAAATATGATAAACTTGTGCCAAGATTTAGCCAAAAATTAACCAAAAGCTCCCAATAGCCACAATTTTCGCAGCCATTCCTGCAAAATGGGCCGAAATTGCTGCCAAATGGTTTTCATATAAGTTTTCGGAAAATAGATGGTTTTTATAACTGATTTTAAAAGGTTGGGTGGTTTTCTTAGTAATTTTTTAAGTCTACCAACCAGATTAGAAAAATAAAAATGGGATTGCTATTTGTTGCAATTTGTCCTAACTCTTCTGTAGAGGCTTAAATGCATATGCATGCAAAAGAAGGGTTCCTATTTTTTCCAGTTTATGAAAGAAAGTGGTTTTTAGACGAGTTTTATTTTAGGACCAAAATATGAACACTGTATTCGGCAAGATTACCACATGACATGAAACGGGTTAAATGTTTATTTATGCAATGATGTTTCATCTTTTTACTAATTTTGGTAAAAAAAAAAATGTATACCTTTTATCATTCAATATGCTACTAATACAAATTATACATCTTTGTGTAATAAATGAAACATCGTTGCGTATTTCATGAAAGAAAACACATTGCTGCATAAATTGAGAAAAATGTCAAACGTGGTTGCATTATATGTGCATTTAACCCTTTGTATACAATGTAAAATATTAAATTGTGAATGTAAGCCCAGTTATACATGCATTGACTTAGTCTTTGGGTTGTATTTTGACCAGAATCATACTGAAGCATACTTGGATCTATCGGCTAAGACAAAACTATACTTTGCTACTGCAGTCAAAACTTGGGATGCAGATTTCTATGTTAAAGTGGACGATGATGTTCATGTAAATATAGGTATATTTATCCAGCATTGCGTTAATAACAAATTCTTCTTATGGGCTTATCTCAATTTACACATTATTATTAACTATAAAGCAAAATACAGAAAAGAAGCCCTTGTACCTTCATTATATATATATATATATATATATATATATATATATATATATATATATATATATATATATATATATATATATATATATATATATATATATATATATATATATATATATATATATATTTATTTATTTATATTCTGTCGTATCGGACAAACACAACTTACTAGCCCCGTTTAGCCACGAAGCTATTATTCTTTTAATGATGATAAAAAGGGCTAATTTCACAAAATAAATTACATTTTCAACCTTTTACTCAAAAACCCAATACTTTATTATTTTTTCGGAAAGGCCGTTGACATTTTGAAAAATTTGCAGTTTAGCCACTATTTTTTTATTTTTTGCAAGCTAGCCATTCTTTAGTTGGCCATTCTTGATTGTCAACAATCATCTCGTGAGCAGAGGCCATAATTTTATCTTGTGTATAGTATAAACAATCATATTCAGTTAATAATCAAACCAAATCATGCTAAGAAAAATATGTCTTTTTATAAAAGAGCTAAAAACATAATGGCTTTCATGAAAGTTTTCCTACTGAAATTGATGAAACTGTGAAAATACATTAGGCTTTTCTGTATATTGCCTAATTATGATATCAAAATCGGGTAAGTGGGAAAATATATATTTTCTTAAATGGTCAATTATTTGGCCATCAAAACTACTAATCATTGCAGGAGCATTGGCGAGAACATTACTTAGCCATGTCAACAAGGCCCGTGTCTATATTGGGTGCATGAAGTCTGATCCTGTGCTTACTGAAAAGTAAAATTTTTAATCAAATATTATGAGGTCCATCTATTGGGGATAATATAGTAATCTTTACCCATAGTAGCAACGTACTTGCATGCTTTTATACATTATAGCAGTGTACTTACAATTCCTTACTCATAATAGCAATGAAGTTGTATTTCTTTACTGATAATAACAATATGTAACAGATAAAGTACATTGTTCATATTGGTAGCAAAATATAAGTATGTTAATATTATGGGTAAAAAGTATAATTATGTTGCTTATTATGGGGAAAAATGAAGTCCATTGCTACTATTGGGAAGGAAATGTATATATGTTTGGATTATGGATTAAATATACAAGTATTTTGCTATTATACACAAAAAAATAAAGTACATTACCCATATTGGTAACAAAAGTATAATACATTGCTAATTCCTACAATTTGCCCTTATCTTTTTTCCATTTTAAGAGTGGTTTTGTGATAAATCAGGGAAGAGAAACACCGAGAACCAGAATATTGGAAATTCGGTGACATGGAAAACAACTATTTCCGCCATGCGGGAGGACAAATATATGCTATCTCCAAAGAATTGGCTACTTATATATCCAAAAACCAGTAAGTTGGCTCCATAAATTTCAAAGGTTTTTATTAAATAATGTTTTGTGTCTTTATATTTTATGTTATGATGTATTGGTTTCAATGATGTTTATGGTGTTGTGATGTATCAGAAAGGTTCTACACAAGTATGCAAACGAAGATGTTTCTTTGGGGACTTGGATGATCGGTTTAGATGTTGAACATATTGATGACAGGAGCTTATGTTGTGGCACCCCTGGTAAGATTTTGAACTTTGGATACAGTTATAAAAATGTTATAAAAAAAAAGTAATTTTTACTGTTATAACTTAGTACAGTTTTTTAAGTACAATACCATAATAAGTAAAATTTGAAAATACAATGCTACGTTTAGATGAATTTTCAATGTGCAGTGTTATAATAAGAAAAAAGTGTATGTACAAGGCTTTAATAGAAAGATATGCTAATAAGATACTATAATAATAAAATTATAAAAATACGTCGCTATTTATTGCATTTAGCCATTAGTTTTTTTCGAGCATGGAACACTCTTATTTCACATGCATACCCTATTAAAGCCATGGTACTTTGAAAAAAAAATTATCCAGTTATAGCAATGTCTTCCAATTTCAAAGTAAATTTTTACTTTATTTTTCTATGTGCAATGTCTTTTAAGAAATTTTTTTTGTAAGTAAATTCAAAGTACAAAGTTGTAATAGAATGAAATGCAAGCAGGATGCTATAGAAAAAATAGTGATATTTCTTGCATTTAGCACTTATTCTTTTGCATTGCAAAACATTATTATTATCCTAATATGTTACCCAAACCAAATTCTTTAAAACATCGTAGATTTCGGATGAAAAATTTGATTATTTATTTAGACTTTTTTGTTTTGATCAGTTTGTGAGTGGAAGAATTTGATTGGACATACTTGTGTCGCAACGATTGATTGGGCGTGTAGTGGCATATGTGACTCTGAAGATAGGATATATGATGTTCATAAGCGATGTAGTGAGCGTGAAGACGACTTATGGCAGGCTATTGTTTGAGTTGGGGATATTATGCCTGCATTTTTGTGAGCAAATGCATGTAAATGCTTCTTCCACCTCAATGATTATATACCCAAGTATTAAAAATAATGCAATGATAGTGTGTTTATTTTTTAAACGACAAATATAAAACTATTTATAATCTACTCCTAAACTACTCATTAATTCCACCTATGTCCACTAGGAGACTTGACCCTTCAACCTAAAGGAGGGAGGACAACACATGATACCTCTAGGCTAGAAACCCTTTGGTGATAGTATGTTTATTAACAAGGTTCATTTAAGTTAAATACCATTAAATTTACCCACGTTCGAATCTCACATGATTCAACCTTATGGTGACTTTTGTCGTAAAGAAACCATTAAGTTTATGTAAATAAATAAAATCTTATAATGTACAATGAAACCATATTAGTTAAATTATATAGAAATTACTGTTAAATTTTTTATGGTACGGGCCATTTGTGACACTTTTTTTTTTGATAGACAATTCTTAAGCCACTCAATACAATCCATCTAAGATTTCTTATAACGACACCAAGATATTAACTTGATTGATATTGATTTATTTCATCACCAACACACGGTAGCGCATCTAGGATTTACATATGTTGGGGGCATAAAATATTTATCAAATAATTTTTTTGGTTGATCAAACAGGTTGCCAATGTGTATGTCGAGTTGAGCTTCAACCTCCTTGTTATGTGATAGAGTACCTGAAAACATTTAATATCAACTGGGTAAACGCTAAGCTTAGAGAGTTCCCTAAAATACTATATACAACAATACATATACAATGCATATATATAATGACCTTCAACATAAAGTTGGTCCGCTCTTGGCTTTCAACACGAAGCTGGTCCACCTTTTTTTGCCTACCACATAAAGCTGGACTACACCTTGGCCTTCAGCATAAAGCTTGTCTGCTAGAGTATATTGGCCTACCACATAACTACATGAAAATTAAATGTAAACAAGAAACTACATCATTGAATATGAAGAAATTCAAAGCCAAACCTAAAAAATCTATAAACCATGGCTGAAGAGTGAATAGGTTCAACATACAACCAAATTATACGACCTACCAGATAACTACATGAAAATGACCGATATTCATAATTGAAAACACATGTACAAGTTTGAACATGAAAATTACCCTTGTTCATAAAACAACACGAATTATTTTGATGTGGTTCTATGATTGGGTATTATAGTTTGGTTCCATGTTGAACTTGCTCCAAAACAGTTATCGATTATCCTTAAGTATGTAATCGAAAAAAAAAAATCATTTTGGTTAACCTACTAAAATCGGAGGGCTTCTTTTACAATTTTGATCGGCCTAAAGGACAAATTTTGTAACGTCAAGCAACCTTTCCTCCAAGTCATCGGAATCAATAACTCCCATTCTGCAACTCTCACCGATATCGCCTGTCTTGCGGTTTTCATCCTCTTCGGGTCGATGTCGGTAAGCCATTGAGGCATTTGGAGGAATTTAATGGTGTCAAACGTGAACTGTTTTGGATGACTAACATGTTTTGATTGCACAGATTTTTGAGTATAATGGAAGCGCCCTGGTCGCCATGGTTGGTAAGAATTGCTTCGCAATCGCTAGCGATCGGCGTCTCGGGGTTCAGCTCCAGACTATAGCCACTGATTTCCAAAGAATTTTCAAGATTCATGATAAGCTCTTTCTCGGTCTCTCTGGTCTCGGCAGTGATGCTCAAACACTGTAAGTACGCCACCCATTATTGTCGATCATTTAGGGTTTCGCAATAACAATAAACTTATCGGAGTATTTGGATATGCATTACTGCATTATGAGATTGATCATGTGATATCAGTGAGGATTAACATTAGTAAATAAGGGTGATTGGATGTGCATTTTGCTTGGTAATCCTCAGATTGTCGTTGATTGATTTGGCTCTTCATAGTTGAAGAAAGCCTCCATTTTTAAGTGTCTGTGTAAGTTTGTCTTCAAAACTCTTATATAACAACACCCTGGATTTATTCACTCGATCATCCATTCCTTTCTGAAGAGAAATGAATGTAAAGAAGATGATTATGGAAGGGAGACATCAGACATAGTCTAGTGAGAGAAATACCAAAGACATAGTCTAATTGACTTTATTATCATTATTATACCACTAAACTACATCATACCTTACAATATCCTATTAATCATATCTATATATTTTGTGTTATTGCAGTCATCAAAGGCTTGTATTTCGCCATAAACTGTATCAGCTTCGTGAAGAAAGAGATATGAAGCCTGAAACTTTTGCTAGTCTTGTCTCTGCTGTTTTGTATGAGAAAAGGTCAGATTAAAAAAAAAAAAAACCTTATTTATGTTTTTTCTGTTTCTTGTTTTATTGTATCCCTATGTAACAATATACATATCTTGAATTATATGTGTTCGAGTTCTAATGTCCATTTCCTCCTTTTCCATCATTTGACAACCTTCAGTTTCAGAAATTTATATAAAGTTTGGATTTAATAATTTATTTTTTACTATTATTGTATATGTAGATTTGGTCCTTATTTCTGCCAACCTGTGATTGCTGGATTGGGAGAAGATGATAAGCCATTCATTTGCACAATGGACTCAATTGGAGCAAAGTAGGTTCATTTCTCTTACTTATTTTGCTTGAAAGGACTAAATCCAATATTATACTTTTATTTAAATGTGTATAATCCTTTCAAACTTTTTCTTATTAAGACATTATACTTTGGAAATAAAAGTAGGATGGTAATATAATAAAAAAAAAAATTAATGAAAGTACATTGCTATTTCTGGGGTTAATTTGTTATCATTTTTGTTTTGAAAATGAATTGAAGAGAGCTTGCAAAAGATTTTGTTGTTGCTGGGACTGCCTCTGAGTCTCTTTATGGTGCCTGTGAGTCGATGTTCAAACCTGATATGGTAAGTTTCCTTAAGACAAAAAATTCTATCCTTTTGTCCCACCTAAAAAGACAAAAATGCCCTCCTCCTCATCCTCATAGTTAGTTATGTATGTATGTATGTATGAAGGATCATGAGGATCTGTTTGAGACAATCTCCCAAGCTCTGTTATCATCAGTGGATCGTGATTGTTTGAGTGGTTGGGGAGGCCATGTCTACATTGTGTAAGTTTTTATTTCTTTTATTTCTTATCAAAGCAACTTTTTTGTTCTACTTCTACCCATGAAAGTGTCTTCCTGTTTGGGAGATTTTTCAATAAATGAATAAATGTGTTGAGAAGAAATGAAACTAGAATTCTACAATAAATGAATTTTTAATAAGATGACATGTGGTTTTGGTGCAGCACGCCGACTGAAGTGACAGAAAGAATCTTGAAGGGAAGAATGGATTAACAAATATATATAATTTCTTTTTTTTTTTTTTTTTTTTTTTATTAATCTGGAGAATTTTATTATCTTTGTGTGATGCAATTTAGTCCATTCTATCTCCTCTACTTGTACCTTAACTTATTTACAAATTCTTTCCTAATGAGATTTTTTTTTTTTTTTTTTTGGTTTTATAGATTAATGCTTACTTTATACAATTCTGTTTTATAACTTTCTTTTTACAAAATACTTGATGCTGTGAAATTACCTTTCACATAGTGTTTGAAGTTGTGGTTTTGTATTTAGGAATTAATGTTTTTGGGATCTTAAAATATGTTTCATCTGATTGACGTCATTTCTATCACCTTCCATCTTTGACATTGCTTCAACATTTGAATCAGTGATGAAACTGTACTCTTAAGTATGAAATTGGTTTAAGATTATGCATTTGTAGTTTTCATTGGAGAGTCATGCAGAGATGATGAGGTGTTAAAACTGTGAATTAATTGTTAAATGGGTTGGAGATAGTTGAAAACAGTGGTGGTTATGGTGTTTAATTAGGGTTAATGGTATTTTGTAGTTTGGGGTTTTTGCAAATAAGTTGGAAAATAAGATGAAATAAATGGTTTGATATGGTTAAAAACGAAGATGGTAGTGGGAAATTGAAGGGTGAGAAAAGACAATTGGGTGGGCTGGGGTGGAGCGGGCATGTGAGGATGTATTTAAATTTAAATTTAAAATAATTTTAATTAAATAAAAATATAATACAAAGAAAATGATCAAAAAATTATATCACATGTCTAAAATTTGGTTTTATGTTTCTTTAACTTCTTTATTTTCATTTATTATTTTATATAATTTTCGTTTTTTTTTTTGGTCAAATTGATAACTTCTTTCGATATTTTTTCAAAAACCGTAAAGTGTATGAATATATTAGAGTATATTATATTTTTGGTGTTTGAGTTTTTTTTGGTTTTCTATTTTTTTAAAATTTGGGTAATTTATAGTTTTTCCATTTTTTTTTTAAATTTTGATTCAATGTGTGATATTTACGATTTATAATTATTAAAAATAGGAAATAACTAAATAACGAAAAAAAAAAAAAAACAAAAATAAAGAAAAAACGAAAAAAATATAAAAATATATGAAAAATAAAATGAATATAAAACGAATAAAAATATAAAACCAAGTTTATTTTTGACTAAAAAGTAAAAATAAATGAAAATAAAGAAGTTAAAAAAACATAAAACCGAGTTTTGGATATGTGGTGTAATTTTTTTGCAAACTACAAGAACTGGTCTTCGACTTTAAATATCATTTTGTAACTGATTTTGTAAAAAAGATAACAAAGTTAACCATGAAACTCATTAAGTGGACTATACGTGAAATTAATAGGCCATTTATTAACTATATGTAAAAAAATTGTGGCTTTTATGATATTTGCCCTCAACGAAAATTAACGTTGTCTGTGAAAATCTTTATTTAAAAAAAAAAAAATCCAAATGACATCGTTTTAATATTATTGGTTGTGAAAAAATATCGTTGTCGGTGAAAATGCGAAGTGGATTGCCAAAATCTCAGGCCCACTTCGGCCTTCAAGCTCCGATGACGAAGAGACGCGTCATCCTATTCATGGCATCATGTATGAAAAGTATGTGGTTGATCATTCGAGTGGAAAAAAGCATGTTTGGTGAATTCGAGGAGGACAATGATTTGGAGGAATTGGAGAATAAGAATGGAGATGAGAGTGAAGAGGAGGAAGATATGATAGTTGGAAAATGTTTTGTAATGACTGCTTCAAAGTCTCATATAAAGGACAAGGTACATGAACTTCTTATCTCTCTTAACGTTCCTTTAAATTCATACAATATCTTTTATCTAATTTTGATGATACATGCTTTTATTTAAATGATATGTTAATTTCTATAAGTATCGAAGTGGAGAAGAATAAGCATTGCTTTACGATGTAAGCAATAAGTTGGAGGAGAAGAAAACTAGGATAGAAAGCCTATATTTGAAACTTATGAATGTGATGATAGATAGAGACTCATTGAGAATGGACAATAGTTTACTTGTGAAACAAATGAATATATATATATATATATATATATATATATATATATATATATATATATATATATATATATATATATATATATTGTAATATTGCTAAAAAGTTGTATGGTAAACTAACTGTTCTCTATCATTCATTTGAAATATATAAGGAACAACATAGAAAGTTACTTCCTTTCATTAATATCAAATGTAAATTAGGTGATGAAACTACTTATGACTGTGAGAGTAAATTGAAAATTATGATCAAGTTCCTAATGATTCTTATGCATATGGTATTGTGAATATCAATGATTGTTTGAATGGTGATGAATTAGTTGATATTATAAATGAGAATTTGACTATAAATGAACAAATGAAAATTTTAAACAAAGTGAGAATTTTACATAATCTACTCAACAAAAATTTGCTGATATCAAAGATGATTTTGACAATATCAGTGAAATTGAGAAAGAGGAATGTGTTGATTTCTTAAAATTGTTTATTATTAATGTACTTTGTTAGCTAAAAGCAAATAAAATGATGATTCAAAATGGAAGCTAAACAATGATTCATCTTTGAAAACCAAAACTAATGATTCTCAAGAGTTTCTTATTGTCGAAGATATAATGAACACCGGAAGTGATAGGGATGATGATTCAAGTGAAACAAAAATTCCACGAGTTGTTGAAGCTCAAGTGTTTGAGGATACAAAGGAATTTTCTAAAATTTTGAAGGAAAATGGATTTTTTAGCTAACGAAAATTCTACGAGTTCTTAAAACAAACTAGGTTTCTATATCCATAATTGAACAAAGAATTTCCAAATCGATTTTTTGTCACAAAAGGAAATGGGGATAATATTGATCTAAAATTGAGTGAATTGTTAAAAGAATATATTTTGAAAGCGACTGATAAATGTTTTTATTCAAATCAAATGTTGTGGAAACTGATTTGAATCAAAGTTCAAAAACCTTTCAACGTTAAAAGAGTCAAAAATCTTTACCAAAAGAAAATAAAAATAATAAAAATGGTATTTGGGTTGTGAAAATTGTCAAGCCTAATAACTGAAGGCGAAACAGATTAGAGTTATGATAAGTTTTACTTGTTTGTGTTGAAGAATCAAAAGGCAAAGACACAAAATCTTGAAAAATCTAATTTGAAAGAAGAAATTTTCAAAAAGAAAGCTTAAAACAAAGCTTATTGGAAGGAAAAAAGAGATTTTCAAAAGGAAAATAAATTAAAACGAAAATAACCACAATCACAAGCAAAGAACTTTTCTCAACCATCATAAACTCATTTTTCAAAAGAAACTTCAAAAGTTTTTCACAAAGAAGTCAATAAAAATGTGAGAACAAAAAGTCGAAAGTTGTTCAAAATGTAAAAATGAAACAACAAAATCATTTTTAGAGAAATGTTCAAAAAGATTTTTCGCAAAAAGGTAATGATTTTCAAAAGGAGTCTCATTTTGTATATCAAAATCGATAACAAAATTGTTTTCAACAAAGATCACAAAAATCCTTTTCACAAACGAGTTCTTCAAAATCAACACATGTCATGAAAAAAAATGTCTCATATAAACCTGATGGTCCATGATTTCCAAATCGGTCTTCATTGCACAAATCAAAAGCTTCATTCGTCAAAGGAAAAAATGAGATGAAGAATTTTAATCATTGGTTTGAAGGAAAAGGAAATAAATTTCAATCAAAAGATTATTCTCAAGAACAAATCCAAAATGCTTATGAGAATTACTAAAATGAATCAACGGGTGCAAATAATTTGTCGCATGAATCACTAACAAAGCCATCCAAATGACAAGAAGTTAAAATAAACAAGAAAGTTGATTTTCCTGAGAAAAGGGTTGAAAAAAGAAAACAAAGTTGAAAATTTGATATTGAACGATTATATTTATGTGCCTAAATCAAATGAAGTTGATTTAATTAACAAAATAAAAATAAAAATTTGTGGCTGGATTCTCAATTCGACATAGCATAAAACTTTTTACACTAATGTCTAACGACCCAAAAAGCCTTGGGAACCTAAATCTCTCTAAATGATTGTAGGTTCTATGTGAAGAGCAATATGAAGAAAACTAGTACATTGATAGTGGGTGTTCGTGCCACATGACTGGAAAGAAAGAGAATCATAGGGATTTTAGGAAATTAGAGAATGCTGGAGTTATGAAGTTTAGGAACAATCAAAAGTGCAAAGTGAAAGGATATGGAAAGATGGAGAATGGGAAGTTTACTGTGAACAAGGTTGCTTATGTCGAAGGTTTGAAGCACAACTTTATAAGCATATCTCAACTTGTCTTTGGAACTGGGAAAAAAGAGATTTTCAAAAAGAACTTTATAAGCATATGTCAACTTGTTTGAAGAACAACTTTATTGTAACGACCCAATTTTCACATCAAAAAAATTTGTTTAAAAACATTACTTTAGAAAATATTAATAACTAAAACATCATCCGATCATCCATAATATAAACTGAACCATGTCCGAAAACCAAAACATACAACTAATCGGAATATCAGAGTATCATTCCCAGAAAAGCTCGTAAATGCGGAAACCGAAGAGGGTGTGTGTGTGACATGCTGCTACCGCGCCGGCTCCTTTCCCCTAGCTGAGGAGGTACCTGAAACCAAAACTGAAACCGTAAGCACAAAGCTTAGTTAGCTCCCCCATAATACCCCATACCATACAAGCATTTAACAAATAACATGCAATTAGGAGATACGGGCCCCGCCCACACTCGTGAAGATACGGGCCCCGCCCACACCTCACTTTCTGAGAGATACGGGCCCCCCCACACTCGTGAAGATACGGGCCCCGCCCACACTTCGCTATCTGGGAGATACGGGCCTAGCCCACACTCCATTCTCGGAGAGATACGGGCCTCGCCCACACTCAACCGCCAACTCTTATCATACAAGTATCGCACAGACAACAAGTGTAAACAATGCTATCATACTGGCATATATCATAATCAACTCAACTAATAGATACGGGCTCGGCCCACACTATAATACTAACGTCTCATCTATAC